TTCTAAATACAAACAGTTATTAATCAATAACAATACAACAAAACTGAAAAATACTTTTATTACATCAAATGGGGTAAATAAGCACCAATTATTTTGTACCTGAGCTTAATTTAATTAGTTTTTGATCTCTAAAGTTTAGTAAAGTGGTGCACATGCACGACAGGGCAGCTGCTGTACCAGAATGCTCTGATTTTTTTTACCAAGCTTCTTCACATTCACTGAATAAGTGAATTCACATTAATAAGAACCAAGGAAAACTATGACACATACCAGATGCCCTTGTAATTTCCTTGTGCACCTCTTTACAGCTAACCACAGCCAACGTTCACTCAAACAGAACTCTAATTGCCTACTCAAACCTCAAAGTTATTCCGTGAACTAAAAGAAATACAGCATGGAATAGCCTTTATATGCAATGAATGCCCATTTCTGGTAACATAAATTCAGCGTACTTGTAATCAAAGTATGACTGTCAGTACATTCAATCAAATAACTATTTTTCACTAATCAATCAACAGGTCTACAGAAAATATTTCATTACAGAAAAAAGGTAAACTTATTATTAAATCATACACTGGACATTATTCAAGGTGCTTATTATGATGCAGTGCGGTATGAAAAGAAAGGTGGCAGTACACACACATGAAAAAACTGTAGAGACTGTACATTTTAAACGTTTCAACAAGAAATACCACCAGTGTATCGGGAAGTAAGCTTGGTTTACTTAATAAGTGTATCCTCCTTTTAACCTCCATTACTTCCAGTTTTAAAATTTGTCTTAATAGGAATATTATCTGGTGTACCACCGCATACGGGTGGGGGGGGGCTGTTTTAAATTTTTTGTACTAGATGGTTTAAAATTAGGGAAAACTACCATCTTGCCAAATTGTTTGGCAAAGGAAATTAACCAGCAAATTGCTTAACATTGACACACAATGGAAAAAAGGTTAAATTAAAAAATCTCTAATAACTTACTGCTCACTGAACACCTTGAAAATGGGGTAAAAATGTTATTTCTTTTGAACTGGAATATATTACTGGATATATATTTTTGTAGAAAGTTAAACATTGCATACAAGCAAAGAGATAAGGAAATTTAACCTAATAAATGTTTTATCGCTACTTGGACTAAACCTGTGTTAATTAAAATTTTAAAAAAGTATAAACTAAAAGACAACATGTACATGATCACAAACAGAAAGTTACAACAATTTTAAAGCCAATTCTACGAACATCAACCATTTTTCCCATCCATACTTAACGCTGCTACCAAACTACGACTACTGATCACACGGAACAGATTAAAAAGAAATTTAATTTTGTGCGTATTATATGAAGGCACTTCAAGTTTGACTAGGAAATTTCAATGTTTATTTTTCCACTGCCTCCATACTTGTCACAAAAATTTATGTGCTCCAGGGATCACGGAAATCTGTGCACGTTGCATAATAGTATCCCCGGAAGAGTGCCTAACATGAAACTGGAAAGACAAATTACCGACATGCAGTGATAAAATTAACTGGACAAATTTGACGTGCCTATGTACTTAATAAGAGCTTTCCATAACAAACAATGGTATTTCAAATTTAAATATTCATTGAATGTGCGGAAAAACGTGAGTTACAAATAAAGTGTAAATTTTATACTTTTGATTATTTCAATTTGCAAACATCCAGATATTTCCATAGGCACTCCAGTGTATCATAATTTGAGACAAAGCAACATCCCACATACTTGAAAATATAATGGAATGTTTTCAAAATTTTGTGCGTCCATTTTTAGTATGAAAATTATATTATTTAAACTTAAAAGACTGACTTGTGCACCTCATGTAAAAATATTTCAGAGTCATGGGTTAATCACACCACAGTTTAAACCCAATACAAGGGTACACTGAAATGGCAGTCAAGTATCAAGAATAAATGCATATTTTTAAAAATATTCTGATAAATTTATTATATTACTTTTTAGTTTCAACTCACCATCAGCACCACCCAGAATAGCCATGTTTAATAACAGATGCTACTACTACATAATGCCTATTCTACATATTAAAAGCACTCAATAATCTACTTTCCATTAATTTTACAGTAGCAATACTTAGTCTATGTTATTAAATGAGATGCTCATCTGACTCCCCCTCCCCAAAAAGAGAAGGGGAGAGAGAATATCTAAAGGCACCTACATAACTAATTTCCTGTAAACACTCAACAAGTGCTTTTTATCTACCTACGTAAGGCAGTCAAAAAGTTCCCGGAATTGTGGTATAGTACTGTAACGGTAGGACATATTGCAACGCTTACCTAATCACCTTCAAAGTAGGACCCTTGCGCGCACACACACTTGCTCCATCGATCCTGCCATTGTCGGAAGCACCGGCGGAAGGCTTCGTTTGGAATTTTCCGGAGTTCGGCCGTCGCATTCGACACCTCGCTGGTTGTGCGGCAATTCCTCGCCGAGAAAAGCATTCCCGTCATCACCCAACCACCATACTCTCCGGATCTCGCTCCGAGTGACTTCTGGCTGTTCCCTACTCTGAAAATGGGCCTCAAGGGGACGCGTTTCGCAACCATGGAGGACATCAAATCGAATGAAAGTGTGTGTGTGTGTGCAAGGGTCCTACTTTGAAGGTGATTAGATAAGCGTTGCCATATGTACTACCATTAAAGTGCTACACCACAATTCCGGGAACTTTTTGACTGCCCCTCGTATGACTGAATAGCTTTCCACAAAAGTAAGCCTTTAGAATCAGATACTGCACTAGATACACGTATCAAGAATGTGTCTTGATAAAACAACATGGATACAAACTCCTTCAGCAGATGCAACATAAAGAAACTAAACTGCCATTTTGGCTCAAATATTTCTCATTTTCATTTCCAAAGTACCAAAATTCCTCAAAACAGGATACAAAATAGGCACGGTAATCCTGAACGACAATTATAAAAAAATGCAAAAAAGGACCACAAAAAGCAACTATTAGTCTTTATCATGAAAGTGATTCAACCTATAGCTATAAAATTTCTTTCCAATTTGAATTTCTGTAACTGGCACAAAAGAGTATACTCGCAATACAGTGTGAATTTACTCTGCTTTGTGCTCCAGATAAGGGCGATACGAAATTGAGCCCATTTGCCACGTGGCCCCCTGATACTCTATATTTCTGCTAACCTAATCTCCGTCCTGTTTTTATAACAATAATATCGATGTTTCAATGTTGATCTTCCGCGTAGACTTCTAGGTAGATACTAACATTTCAGATGAACACGCTGAATATTCATCTGAAATGTTGGTATCAACCTAGAAGTCCACGCGGTCTTACTACCTGTGAGACCAACAGTGACATCTTCACAGCCTTGATAACCCCATCTCACATACATAAATATTTATTATGACACAGTATTTTTATAATTTTCACAAAAACTAAGACTTTATTCAAACCAACATTATGAATTATAAACGTTCAGATCAGTCACAATTGTGAGTCAATTCTCACATGATCAATTTTCATATATTATATAGATCACAACTCACCACACTTGTGGTTCAGTCAGTTTCTTCAGTTACAAATGCTGGAAACATCAACATCAACCTTGGTGAAAGAGACCTCATATCATACATCAATCTCTCTTACCGTTAAGATGAACAACACCAAAAAAGGTACAACCGTCTCGAAGAATAACTCTACGGTTACGCTCGCGCTGCCAGACAAACAAGCGATCAGTAGCGTTGAGGAATCGCACTACAGAGGTGAAGCAGCTCACTTCTGATGTCTCACCATTGCCCGTCGCTTTCACGCTGCACAGAGCCAGTTCTTCAGGTGAAGATTTCCCTTCTTCACGGAGTCTGATGGCGAAACTGTTTGACGATTCTGTCGTTAAGTAATACACCTATCAAGCAGTATGACTGATCAACACAGACAATCTTAAACTCTTCATATCGCATGCAGCAGTATATAAAATGTACATGAAACAAACACTTTTATAACTCTTAAAATATGAATAATAATTATTAAATGAGAAAAAATGAAAAATTTGGTAAAATACAATTGAGACATTCCAGACATGCTATAAATACCACATTTTGCAGTATAAATTCTTACATTTATGATCCAAAATACAAGTAAGAAATTCAAGCTACTCCCCGATACTAAAGTAAGAATGTCCAATCCGAGATAAATTCCAAGAAGAACAATCTCTCAACAGAAAACATTTCCAATGAAATTAGGTTTCTGTTCAATCGTGGATCAAAATTTTGATAGATTCTGATGCACATCTATATATTAAAAAAGTACTTAGAAACTGACCACCAGACATGTGCTTCATGTATTCTCACCTGAGCATAGATATAGTACAGACCCCGCTCTGAGATTTGAATTGCCCCATTCCCTTCTCGCATCTGAAACTTTGACAGCAAGAAGTCACCAGCTCCTTGTTTGTCCACATACCATGGTGCTACCAAACCTGCCACAAGAGTCAAAGTAGTTAGAAATATATTTTTCCTTTGCACTCAAATATCATATAGAGTTGACAAAGCTACCTGTATAGGGGTCGCAGTAGTTTTTGGCCTGTGAAATATTCAAGGGGAAGGCTAGGAGCGAGTGACTTGTATGACAGTATAATGTTTCGTCTGCCTCCATGAAGGACGAGGAACTTATCAGACTGAACGCCCAAACAAAACAAATACACTGATCTCGCCACCTCAAGTAAACAGAGTAAGTCCGTCCGCCAGCTTCTCCACCGGCCAAAAACTACTGTGCCTGCTATAATGCCTGATACTACTGAACTATAAAGAGCTAGCACATCATGTTATATACGGATCTTGTACCGCCAGTATAACTTAGGCAGTAAAATGACCGGATGAGCAGGATTAAATTCTTGTCGGGAGTAGATATGTAGACATGTTTACAACCCTGCGGAGCAACTATTGAATTCACTCTGCCCATCCATCTGCACACATATAACTTGAGAATGGTTGAAAGGATTTTAATTTAATTTGATATTAGGGAGTTTTACTAAAATTCTTCGAGATCGACCACGAAGACGATGGAAAGATCAATTTGAAACCGGAAAATCCCTGACGATGATGATGATTAAAATTCTTCAACACATTCCAATTTTGGTTAAGATCAGACAACAATAATGGGCACTTTATGTATAGACCTAAGTGTATTTTTTTGCATGTGGGTGTGACTGGATGGGGAATCCCTTGACATTCACAAAGGTCAAATTCAAAGTGTTAGCATTCCTTGATGGATAACACGTCAAATACAGCGCCTCCTTTGATAACACACAAAAAGAAACCTGAATTTTTTAATACTCCCCAGTATAATCATGTTAGTTACTGCTTTTATCATACAAGTTACATACTAAACAAATACATACTACCTCCATCCTCTATATATACATCAGGCACAGCTCCTTTTAAATGAACCACAGATGGACCTGAAATATTTTAAGAAATCTGATACACTCAAAATACAGCACGATAGTAATAATTATGCTGCAATATAAATCTGTACCGTAGAAAACCATCAACAACTGCATGAATTTCTACTACCCAATATGCAAATTGTGGTGACAGTTCATGAGCATTAAAAATTTCAGCAAATGTTGTTGATGGTTTATAGTGTTTAAGACTAGAAGAACTTCACTACCAGACAATTGCATCAACAACATTCAATTTTCGATCAAAGCAAGTGTAAACACTGAAGTTTATCATCAATATAAAAGTCTGTACGAAGGTACAGTCTGGATACAACAATAATGAAAGTGCGACCAGTTTTTCCTTGGTCATCCATTAATAAAAATTAGTCTCTTGAGGCCACACGTGGTAATAGCTTGCACTTTTTCATAAAATCTGGTGAATAGACATTAAGATGGATCAACTTTGACCAATCCCCTTGCAGAGCTTTAATAAGTCCCACAAAATAATAACAGTTTTTAAGACACGTGCCTGAGGATAAAGAAATGATAAATGTTAAACATATGCTTCAAGAAACTGCACAAATTTCATTAACCCAAGATGTAAAAAAATATATTTATATGAGTAGTGAAGACAGGTGAAAGTAGTACAGACACGAACATCTAAAAATGTCAACTGCACTTACGCTACACCTCGGTGTTTAGTTTACATAATAAAAAAGCTTAAAATAATTGTGATAATTATGATTAAGACAAGTACAATTTTTGGTTTTATTATTTTCTACATACTGCAAGACAAAATGAGATTTTTCATGTGTAATTTCGAAAGAAACCACGCTATTTTTAAAAATCGGATTGTATCTTTATTTCATTGAACATTGTTGTAATATCCAGACTGAAGGCACCTCATTGTTTCCTATATGTACCTTAATAGGTATAATTATGAATGATCAATTAACAGATAAATCTTATGATTCCAAAGGGTTCTGACAATGGCATAATACAATCTGGGTTGCTGGGTTCTTGAACCTTATCCGTTTTGAGAACTCGATCTGTCCTCATCTTCAGGAGTAGTGAAGGGGGCACCTACTCTGTGAAGTCCATTAGAATAAGCCAATTCCAATCATTGGACCTGTTTTATAACATCAACCAATGGGCAAGGTCCAAATACCTAACAACGCAGAAAATATATTTTTATTAAAACACTTTTAAGGACTACAATAACAAACCTGTTGGACATTGCCTCTCAGATTAGACAGCATGCAAAAGGATTAGTATTAAAAAAATCTAGTAAATTGTTTGCCTGTAGGCATAAATGCAATAATTGCCTGTTCTCGTATTTATACGACGATAAAGATTTCCATTACAGACTCGCAACGAAAATGCTAAACAAAACCAAATTTACTAAATGCACCAAACTATATTTAGATTTTGTTTCCATCAGAGCATAAAGTATCTCTTAAGCAGGAGTTCTCAACCTGTGGCCTAGCATTGTGTTTTATGTGATCCTAATTTTTTTGGTCACTCTGTATGATTAAAAACAGCTGATTATCAGTGAATATTCTATTTGTCTGTACCGAGCGCATAAGCAACTGTTCAGCTTAATGATGAACAAAAAATCAAGAACTAGGATTTGTCTTCTTGTTGAACAATTAACCTCAAGAAAAATTTGTCTGGCAAAGAAAAAGAGTGTTTCAGTTTTAACACTGAAGCCCTGTCAAAGACAATGGGTGAATGCGGGCCCCAGGCACGGAAGATGTCAAGAACTCCTACTTTTAAAGACAGCCCAAGTAAAATAATCAAATGATGATGGATCTAAGCAGCAAAAGCACGGTAATCTGTCAAATTATTCACATCAATTTGAATCAGCTTTCAGTCCCTCAATAATATGTAGTTCCCCTCTTCAAATAGTGAAATTTTATTGATTTCACAAAAGTAATATTGTTCAAAAATCTTGTATGTTAAAACTCATGGTATTTTGTATGAAAGATCTCAGTCAAGTTTAATTATCTTTACCATCTTCTAATTATGTAAACCAAGTGCGTTACAACCACCAGACAACCTAGAACCTCCCAATCATAACAAGACTGAAGCATGAATTGACAAAGAACAGTTAATACAACATAGCAACAGCAACAAATATTTCAAAAGCTGGACAAGACAAACAGCGACAATGCAGAGACAATTTTTCAAGCATTTTGAAATGCAAGAATATTCAGTGTACCACGGTTCTTTCTTTTGTTGTTCAGGTGACGACGACCCTCAGATGGCTTATGATTACCTCTTCTATTAGAACGCTTCTCTCTGTCCACTCTCAAACCTTCTCCCGTTGCAACATCTTCACGGCTAGATGAGCCATCTGCCCTGAACAGAATGTCAAGAGGAGATGCTGAAGTATTGTTAATATTTTCCAATTTTAGTTCCTGTAATATGTGAATTGTTTCAACGTCATCTGAAACTACATAATCCACGACAGACGAATCATAAGGCAATGAAACCGTAGAAGTGGGTAAAAAATTAGAATGTTCAACACCTGAGTACATAGATCTGTTAATCATGTCTGTCACATTTACAAATGTTGTATTTCCCACGATACTGCGATATTTATATGTCAGACTTCTCACTGTGCTCTGCAGAGCGTCAACTTCCTGGTTTAAACTGCCTGATTTCTCTGCCAGAATCTCTACTTGCTGTTTCAGAGCCATGATATTCTGTTCCATCACGGTAAGTTCTGAATCCTGGTATCTCACCAATAGAACCAGAGACAAGATACTGAAAATGCAGAAGAGAATGCTACAGTGGCTGAAAAATGCTGCAGTCTTGAAACATGGAACAGACAGGTTAGTGTCGATCTGTAAATCCACCACAGTGCAGTTTTTCGGCACAGGAACGCATATCGTTGTTTGTGATCCTCCAGGTCTTGCAACGCAATTAGTAAACGACTTTGCTACCTCTTCACGTTTTGCATTTTTATCAAGTTTCAACACACGGTCCATTATATTATGAAGAATTTTGTACTCTTATTAGTTTAAGGCCTGAAACAAAACAAACATCATACATAATAATTATGCAATGAAAGGATAGATAACATTTATGTTGCAGACAAAAATTTATGATCACACAGCAATGGCTGGTTCAATACTGTTATTTTTATTTATTTATTTTATATGACCCATTCTTCAAGTGCCTGAGCACTGTGGGTCCCAACTTTTTGTTGGCTCTGATCTATATAGACAGTTGGTAGGACTCCTTGGATGAGTGATCGGCCAATTATGAATGATCAATTAACAGATAAATCTTATGATTCCAAAGGGTTCTGACAATGGCATAATACAATCTGGGTTGCTGGGTTCTTGAACCTTATCCGTTTTGAGAACTCGATCTGTCCTCATCTTCAGGAGTAGTGAAGGGGGCACCTACTCTGTGAAGTCCATTAGAATAAGCCAATTCCAATCATTGGACCTGTTTTATAACATCAACCAATGGGCAAGGTCCAAATACCTAACAACGCAGAAAATATATATTTTTATTAAAACACTTTTAAGGACTACAATAACAAACCTGTTGGACATTGCCTCTCAGATTAGACAGCATGCAAAAGGATTAGTATTAAAAAAATCTAGTAAATTGTTTGCCTGTAGGCATAAACGCAATAATTGCCTGTTCTCGTATTTATACGACGATAAAGAGTTCCATTACAGACTCGCAACGAAATCACTACTTAATGCTAAACAAAACCAAATTTACTAAATGCACCAAACTATATTTAGATTTTGTTTCCATCAGAGCATAAAGTATCTCTTAAGCAGGAGTTCTCAACCTGTGGCCTAGCATTGTGTTTTATGTGATCCTAATTTTTTTGGTCACTCTGTATGATTAAAAACAGCTGATTATCAGTGAATATTCTATTTGTCTGTACCGAGCGCATAAGCAACTGTTCAGCTTAATGATGAACAAAAAATCAAGAACTAGGATTTGTCTTCTTGCTGAACAATTAAAGGGGTGTCAACCTCAAGAAAAATTTGTCTGGCAAAGAAAAAGAAAAAAAGTGTTTCAGTTTTAACACTGAAGCCCTGTTCCATTACAGACTCGCAACGAAATCACTACTTAATGCTAAACAAAACCAAATTTACTAAATGCACCAAACTATATTTAGATTTTGTTTCCATCAGAGCATAAAGTATCTCTTAAGCAGGAGTTCTCAACCTGTGGCCTAGCATTGTGTTTTGTGTGATCCTAATTTTTTTGGTCACTCTGTATGATTAAAAACAGCTGATTATCAGTGAATATTCTATTTGTCTGTACCGAGCGCATAAGCAACTGTTCAGCTTAATGATGAACAAAAAATCAAGAACTAGGATTTGTCTTCTTGTTGAACAATTAACCTCAAGAAAAATTTGTCTGGCAAAGAAAAAGAGTGTTTCAGTTTTAACACTGAAGCCCTGTCAAAGACAATGGGTGAATGCGGGCCCCAGGCACGGAAGATGTCAAGAACTCCTACTTTTAAAGACAGCCCAAGTAAAATAATCAAATGATGATGGATCTAAGCAGCAAAAGCACGGTAATCTGTCAAATTATTCACATCAATTTGAATCAGCTTTCAGTCCCTCAATAATATGTAGTTCCCCTCTTCAAATAGTGAAATTTTATTGATTTCACAAAAGTAATATTGTTCAAAAATCTTGTATGTTAAAACTCATGGTATTTTGTATGAAAGATCTCAGTCAAGTTTAATTATCTTTACCATCTTCTAATTATGTAAACCAAGTGCGTTACAACCACCAGACAACCTAGAACCTCCCAATCATAACAAGACTGAAGCATGAATTGACAAAGAACAGTTAATACAACATAGCAACAGCAACAAATATTTCAAAAGCTGGACAAGACAAACAGCGACAATGCAGAGACAATTTTTCAAGCATTTTGAAATGCAAGAATATTCAGTGTACCACGGTTCTTTCTTTTGTTGTTCAGGTGACGACGACCCTCAGATGGCTTATGATTACCTCTTCTATTAGAACGCTTCTCTCTGTCCACTCTCAAACCTTCTCCCGTTGCAACATCTTCACGGCTAGATGAGCCATCTGCCCTGAACAGAATGTCAAGAGGAGATGCTGAAGTATTGTTAATATTTTCCAATTTTAGTTCCTGTAATATGTGAATTGTTTCATCATCTGAAACTACATATTCCACGTCAGACGAATCATAAGGCAATGAAACTGTAGAAGTGGGTAAAAAATTAGAATGTTACGTCATCTGAAACTACATAATCCACGACAGACGAATCATAAGGCAATGAAACCGTAGAAGTGGGTAAAAAATTAGAATGTTCAACACCTGAGTACATAGATCTGTTAATCATGTCTGTCACATTTACAAATGTTGTATTTCCCACGATACTGCGATATTTATATGTCAGACTTCTCACTGTGCTCTGCAGAGCGTCAACTTCCTGGTTTAAACTGCCTGATTTCTCTGCCAGAATCTCTACTTGCTGTTTCAGAGCCATGATATTCTGTTCCATCACGGTAAGTTCTGAATCCTGGTATCTCACCAATAGAACCAGAGACAAGATACTGAAAATGCAGAAGAGAATGCTACAGTGGCTGAAAAATGCTGCAGTCTTGAAACATGGAACAGACAGGTTAGTGTCGATCTGTAAATCCACCACAGTGCAGTTTTTCGGCACAGGAACGCATATCGTTGTTTGTGATCCTCCAGGTCTTGCAACGCAATTAGTAAACGACTTTGCTACCTCTTCACGTTTTGCATTTTTATCAAGTTTCAACACACGGTCCATTATATTATGAAGAATTTTGTACTCTTATTAGTTTAAGGCCTGAAACAAAACAAACATCATACATAATAATTATGCAATGAAAGGATAGATAACATTTATGTTGCAGACAAAAATTTATGATCACACAGCAATGGCTGGTTCAATACTGTTATTTTTATTTATTTATTTTATATGACCCATTCTTCAAGTGCCTGAGCACTGTGGGTCCCAACTTTTTGTTGGCTCTGATCTATATAGACAGTTGGTAGGACTCCTTGGATGAGTGATCGGCCTGTCGCAAGGCCTCTACCTGTACACAGGACAGCACAACATAGAAAGTCACGGACAAACATCCATGCCTTGAGTGGGATTCGAACCCACGATCCCAGTGACCAAGTGGCACAAGGCCCACACCTCAGAGCCACTGTGACAGCGCCAATACTGTCATATAGTTGAAAACACAGACACTATGTCAGAAATATAAGAAATATATTCATAGCACTAGATGTAGTGATTAGCTCTGTGCTCTGACCACCATACCCCACAGGGAAGTAGCCCAGTACCAAATTGATCAAAGACTGGGAAGTCCCCTGAGACATGGCAAAGAGAATAATTTTGCCCAACTCATCTAATCCAGGCCATACCCTGGTCACTATAACTAACCAGCAAAGTATGTAAATTAAATTTAGAGGACATACAGAATATCACAAAGGATGAAGGTGGAAGTCAACCAGCGGACGAACCTGACCAGAGGTTGAACACATTCTAAATTCCAGATTTCATGAAGAATTTCCATAGCGTTTTGTTCCAAAAAATGTGTCCATGAACCTGTGTGACACTTTCTAACAGACAACTCTGCATCAGCTACCTGCAACTGCATATTACACACATATTACACATATTTGATGCTACCTTCTTTATCTGTAGGTCATCCCTATCCATAACACGTGAATGAGAGGCTACAGTGACAAAACAGCCATTTATTTCTTAAATATATGGAACAACTGATTTTATGGCTCCCATACATCATAGTTTTTCAACAGAGAATACTGCATATTATCAAAATACCAAGACTAAACAGCAATGGAGAAGTGCATAGCACATAGAAAAGAAAAGTTTCCTGCCAAAAACCGTTCACTGCATCAGCATCTGAATACCCATTTCTTTGGAAGAAGTCTTTTGCTAACCTTACCTATACATAAAAGAATTCACTTACTTCTGTTGGCAGCATTGTGTACTGTAAACTTAGCTTTGTGCAGAAGCTTGAAACGCATACGAAATATCTGACGTCCTATAATATTTCGGATGTATTTCAAAAGAATGACAAACGCATAACGTTAATACCGACAAGAAAGCAGCTTGTGTAAATACCTTGTACCACCACTGATAACGTTCAAATACAAATGCTCAGTATAAAATCCAAGTTCTGTATTTATATTGGTCGATTTACAAAACACTTGCATATGCTTCGCCTAATGTCATAACGTATCACGTTTTAACAGCTACTATCACAGTAAATATGTACTTTATTTTTCTCAATTTCCCGCACAAACAAGAAACTCCAAAACAATAGCTAACAGGTCTACCAACAACGAAATATGAATTGGTACATATAATGGTTTCCTTACGTTTCAACTTTTTTCAGACAAGTTTCCTAATGAAAAACACAATAATTATGTTACTGTTATATACATCACCACACATTGTTAGGCGGACAGTCTTCTGTATAGTGAGCTCAACTTAATAGTAAATTAATATCGTCACACTGGAATTCGTATTTGGCGCGTTCGGAACGAAACGTTGCAAACATGCAGCTGTTTATTCGCCATGTCGCCTATCGTCTAGATACGGCATCTATGAATAATTTTTATTAACACTGATATTTAGGGGTTCTGCTAAAATTTGTCGGCGAATTCCAATTTTAGTGAAAACGGGTAAGAAAAATTTCAGTTTACGTAAAAACCACATGCGTTTCTGCGCACATCTTGCGAAATATTTACCGGCGCGAATTATGCTTCGAAAATGTGAAGTTAAATACTTACGTCGGCAATACGACACGCAAGTTAACTTCCTTTTCGGAACGAATTTGCACAAAACCATCTGAAGGCAAAAATATAAAGCGAAGGCGCCAGAATTTGTATGCTACACGTACATTTCCAGCCACGCATAGCTTAACGGTCTTCGTCTGCTGCAATTGCTACGGAAGATGAATAATCGCGTACTATAAAATCTAAAAAAAAAGAATATCAGGAAACGAAACTACTTCCGTGGTTTTGACATGAAAAAAAATGACTTAAAATATGAAAGCATGACATACTATCAAGTACGTACTGTGAGATATTCCATCAACAAAAGTTGGTAATATCAATACAATAAAAATACGATTATGAATTTTATAGATGAAGGCAGACTAGCACTAATTCAAAATGAACTCCCAATCAAATATATATATATATATATCTAAAGCGCTAATCATTATACCAACCTGTTGAGTTTATTATTCTGAAGTCCAATTATTTCAGACGAAACTGAGACCAGACATTGGCGATAATAACTGAATGCCGAATGGAAGACGATGTTCTTGAAGAGGTCGCAAACTCAACACTACTGGTCCTGGGCTTTACCTGAGGAAAAACATAAAATATGATGCCTTGGGTAGCCTAGTCATAACAGTGTAGGCTTGGATTAGACAGAAGAAGTGGTTTTTCCGCAGTACAGCTGTGGCTTATGCTTTTGCAGCATTTCCAAAATAGCATGACCTATACCTTAAAAGCTCCTCCCTTATTTCTACCTCGGTACCATATAAAAGAAAATTACGAAGGAACTGACTAGTATACGGATACGTAACTAACTCCATAGAGTAGAGTCCCTGAAAATCTAATAGTCGCTCAGCTGGTCAGGAAATTCTCGTTTTATTTCATGTTTCCGGTTATTGATTTTTCCCTTAAGTTACTCAGTCATGGCGAGAAAAACTGTCAGTAACACAGCAGCTTCAGATTTTAAATTAAATATTTATTTGTACACGAATTTTTTATTAATAAATCTATCTTTATAAAAACTTGATTTACTGAATAATCTATTAGTTACAATCTATAAATACTGCGACAAAAGTCTGTTCGTAGTTACTGAGGAAAACCAGGTAATACCCTAGCATATTACACATATTTGATGTTACCTTCTTTATCTGAAGGTCATCCCTATCCACAACACGTGAATGAGAGGCTACAGTGACAAAACAGCCATTTATTTCTTAAATATATGGAACAACTGATTTTATGGCTCCCATACATCATAGTTTTTCAACAGAGAATACTGCATATTATCAAAATACCAAGACTAAACAGCAATGGAGAAGTGCATAGCACATAGAAAAGAAAAGTTTCCTGCCAAAAACCGTTCACTGCATCAGCATCTGAATACCCATTTCTTTGGAAGAAGTCTTTTGCTAACCTTACCTATACATAAAAGAATTCACTTACTTCTGTTGGCAGCATTGTGTACTGTAAACTTAGCTTTGTGCAGAAGCTTGAAACGCATACGAAATATCTGACGTCCTATAATATTTCGGATGTATTTCAAAAGAATGACAAACGCATAACGTTAATACCGACAAGAAAGCAGCTTGTGTAAATACCTTGTACCACCACTGATAACGTTCAAATACAAATGCTCAGTATAAAATCCAAGTTCTGTATTTATATTGGTCGATTTACAAAACACTTGCATATGCTTCGCCTAATGTCATAACGTATCACGTTTTAACAGCTACTATCACAGTAAATATGTACTTTATTTTTCTCAATTTCCCGCACAAACAAGAAACTCCAAAACAATAGCTAACAGGTCTACCAACAACGAAATATGAATTGGTACATATAATGGTTTCCTTACGTTTCAACTTTTTTCAGACAAGTTTCCTAATGAAAAACACAATAATTATGTTACTGTTATATACATCACCACACATTGTTAGGCGGACAGTCTTCTGTATAGTGAGCTCAACTTAATAGTAAATTAATATCGTCACACTGGAATTCGTATTTGGCGCGTTCGGAACGAAACGTTGCAAACATGCAGCTGTTTATTCGCCATGTCGCCTATCGTCTAGATACGGCATCTATGAATAACTTTTATTAACACTGATATTTAGGGGTTCTGCTAAAATTTGTCGGCGAATTCCAATTTTAGTGAAAACGGGTAAGAAAAATTTCAGTTTACGTAAAAACCACATGCGTTTCTGCGCACATCTTGAGCGTAGCTTGCGAAATATTTACCGGCGCGAATTATGCTTCGAAAATGTGAAGTTAAATACTTACGTCGGCAATACGACACGCAAGTTAACTTCCTTTTCGGAACGAATTTGCACAAAACCATCTGAAGGCAAAAATATAAAGCGAAGGCGCCAGAATTTGTATGCTACACGTACATTTCCAGCCACGCATAGCTTAACGGTCTTCGTCTGCTGCAATTGCTACGGAAGATGAATAATCGCGTACTATAAAATCTAAAAAAAAAGAATATCAGGAAACGAAACTACTTCCGTGGTTTTGACATGAAAAAAAATGACTTAAAATATGAAAGCATGACATACTATCAAGTACGTACTGTGAGATATTCCATCAACAAAAGTTGGTAATATCAATACAATAAAAATACGATTATGAATTTTATAGATGAAGGCAGACTAGCACTAATTCAAAATGAACTCCCAATCAAATATATATATATATATATCTAAAGCGCTAATCATTATACCAACCTGTTGAGTTTATTATTCTGAAGTCCAATTATTTCAGACGAAACTGAGACCAGACATTGGCGATAATAACTGAATGCCGAATGGAAGACGATGTTCTTGAAGAGGTCGCAAACTCAACACTACTGGTCCTGGGCTTTACCTGAGGAAAAACATAAAATATGATGCCTTGGGTAGCCTAGTCATAACAGTGTAGGCTTGGATTAGACAGAAGAAGTGGTTTTTCCGCAGTACAGCTGTGGCTTATGCTTTTGCAGCATTTCCAAAATAGCATGACCTATACCTTAAAAGCTCCTCCCTTATTTCTACCTCGGTACCATATAAAAGAAAATTACGAAGGAACTGACTAGTATACGGATACGTAACTAACTCCATAGAGTAGAGTCCCTGAAAATCTAATAGTCGCTCAGCTGGTCAGGAAATTCTCGTTTTATTTCATGTTTCCGGTTATTGATTTTTCCCTTAAGTTACTCAGTCATGGCGAGAAAAACTGTCAGTAACACAGCAGCTTCAGATTTTAAATTAAATATTTATTTGTACACGAATTTTTTATTAATAAATCTATCTTTATAAAAACTTGATTTACTGAATAATCTATTAGTTACAATCTATAAATACTGCGACAAAAGTCTGTTCGTAGTTACTGAGGAAAACCAGGTAATACCCTAGTGAGGACAGCTGGTAATCTGGTGAATGTAGATGTTAAAAGATTCCTATGATATAACTGGAGAGAACTAAGTATTCTTTTGTGAGCCTGCCAATATGGTCATAAAATGGTGGGTTTAGACACACCAGTGGTCAAGAGTTTGTAGTAACGGTTTAAAATAGAAAACCAAACAAAAGCAGGTCGAAGGGGTACGCTGGGTAAACCTTTTCACAATAATGGAAATAAGCCCGGTCAGCTACTGTCTCCCCACGCAGACTGCACAGCTGTAAAAGTACACACACTTCTCGAAAAACGGTTCTCCGCACCAAATGTAAGTAAACAAGATAACGCAAATTATTTCCGCCACTCCACATGATCCTAAGTCAGCTCAATCCAGCTTCCATATCTTGTCCAACACGTAAATCCATTGACAACACTGTATGAAATGCTGTGTGGTTTAAAGCTAGTAACTGCGTCTGTAGATAAATACCACAGAAGTAAAACACACATTGTTGCCGGCTAAACCAGCGGGATCAACTCTGGCAGCATAGCTGATTCGCAGTAACTTGATAGATGGCATCACTTGGTCAGTGCAATTTGAGGATTTGTCAGCCTATCAATATCAAATTGTGATAAAATGAGAGAAATTAAGTTTTCGCAGCGGTGATTGAAAATACATGTTGTGGTCTCAAGGTTGCCCTGAGGATGAAGGCAACACGTTCTTCCAAAACGCTTGGATGATGGAATGAATAATGAACCGAAATTTCTGGGGGTAAAAGCCTTGCAGATTATAAGTTTCTGGGTAATTCTGTGTTACCGACGTACGTATGTTTGCTTATGGTAATGGTCCAAAGCACTAAAGATGCTTTTAAATGTAATTTTACTCTGCAGCAACAAAAACTTTGTTTAAAAATATCTGAGATTTTGTATTTGCGAGAGAATGAGGTTAGAATCCTGTGGTACATTATTTTTATCCGAAAGACGGGTTTATGGGATACTAACTTATTTTAAATAGATCATAACAATGATCTGTAAGGTCATATTTCATATTTATCACCTTGTACCACTACAATTAACCTCGATCCAAAACAGTAAACCATAAAACAAGTTCTGATAAACAGGAATGCATTATATTATAGTGTAACTATTTCATGGCTTTTTCAAACATGGCCACCGTGCGTCAATTGGTCTAACATACACGCGGGCAGTTATATGGTGGAGCCTATGAAATTCTGCCTTCCCTATTATGAATTGTGGACGAAAACAGGTGAAGTATCCGAAACGCTGTTTTATTTTTACAATATCCGATAATGGACAACGTCTAGAAATCCAGCAATCTGTCTATATAATAAGCAACTGTTGGCTACTGTTTAAGGGATCCTGGGCTTGAAATTTCGTATCGATCATGTTTCCTGGATTGTGATGCGACCCTGTGTGACCATGTATGGTTACCAACGTTTCCAAAAAAAAAGTACCGCTACCATCTTCGCCTTAAATTCGCCCTGAAAATGGAAGTGGTTCGTTTCTACGAAACGTTGGTAATCACCTACAAAGACTAAGATATGCAACAACCCAGAATACTCGTAGCCGTGAGAATCTAAAATTTCACCAAACGGTTTATAAACTTTCTGTATCTTCAACTGTTCCTGATATATTCAGATATCCCTGAAATCTTTCGGATAAACAGATCAGAATACTAAAAGCTATTTTTATATAGCAAACAGCAAATACCTGTTACATTGGGACGGATTCCAAATTACCCGCGGCATTTCTTAGCCTTTGAATTTTGTTATTCTTTCCCGTCATCCCACTTTAGCACAAGCTGTGGGTGGAATGATAACAGATGGCGTTACAAACACGCCCACTTTCCAAACCACAGAATGTGCACGAATATAGCCAAACCTGCTTCGAGATATTTTTTTGTGAAACATCTAGCGAAGACGACGTAAATTCTCAGTGAGGATAGCCAATTTTCCAGATGAGATTCGAACAGCGTGTATCCATAATGCAGTGTTAAATCTTACGTTTCAGGTCGAAACAAAATATATCAATACGTTTGTCTTTTCTGGTCCAGGATCTCGTCAGTATTTTTGGAGGTCGTCTTCTGAACTTTACCCTTTGCGGTCTCTGTCGGACTGAGTCCGACATTTAAATATCCGAGTTCCGGTCCGATGTCGGACTGAGTCCGACACGTATTTTACGAACTTTTACGTGATCTGGACTCAAACTGAGGCTTGCAAACATTCATTCAAGCCTTCTTCTTTGTACTAGTTCTATCCTAGTTTTCCTGGTAAGACTTCTAATAGTGAAAGGCGGCAGGAGAGAAAAGAACGTTTTATTCTGACACGTGCCGAAGGAAGCCAGGATTCCACACCAAGTGTTTTACCATACATCATATAGAGACGTAATATCATCGTGTGTGTAGCTGTCATATTTACTTAGAATAAAAGTGTTTTATATCTGATAAAGTTATAAAACAAATATCCCATCTTCGTAATTGGAAATTATATATTTTTTTTATTATTTTTGATTAATCTACCGCTGACATGTGCATATTCTTTCGTCTTCTTATCAAGCATTCTTTATGTGTAGTGACTTCGTCGATTACACTTCGCATTCTGTTTCACATTCCTGGTGTTGAATTTGGTCTTGATCTTTGGAACACAATCAGCGCGATAGGAAGCACAGCTCTGAGAATATGAAAGCCAATGCTTATACATCGTATATCTGCATGCAAATAAGAGATGTTTAGACGTTGCAAAAGTCATATCTACCGACTTGGAGTTGCTTTATTCTCTACGGACCGACAGGATGCAAAAAGGCAACACTTTAATCACCACTTAGGCAATGTCCTACGTAAGCGATAACACGCGAGCTATGCCAGCTGCATAAGCAGCATGGGGTGTAAGATTCGTTGAAGATGAAGATGTTCCATCTCCTTCATCCTTCCTACTATAAACATATTAATTTTCAAAGTTATATTCACCAATCACTATAAACTGATAACGAAAATATTTTAAGGTAAGCAACGGCGGGGGTCTGGTGCCCTACTGTATTACGCATCTCAGTAGCGACTGTGGTACAGTCCGTGAAAAATATTTCAGACGGTAAGTATTCAAAAAAAAAAGGAACTGTGATCCTCTCAGAACATATTTTGACCATATTTAGCAAAGTATCTTCCGTTAAAAATCAAATCAAAACTGTGCATAATAGTAGTTCAATGTACACAGCTTAGTGGCATTTAAACAGACCAGCAGAGGGCCGTAGTGGTATCTAAAATGGACCGCAAAGGGTTAATTCATAAAGGCGC